AAAATATATATATATATATATATATATATATATATAGCTCATGTATAAGGTTTGAAAACATCTTCATTTATGTCTTGAGACATAATGAAGTTCATTATGAAATGGTGCCACAGACAAATGAGTCTGGGAAACACCTTAATTACCTTTGTGAATTTCAGGGCCCTGAAGAGAGAAGTGTTCATAAGGCACTGTCACCCTGAGAAGAGGAGATGGCACAGTGATGCAAGTATTTACAGTTGGCTGTGCCTGCTGCTGTCCTTAGATGGTGTTTACAGAAGAGCCTTGGGGAAGTACAGAAGGCCCTGCATCTTCTGTGAGACTTTTGAAGCCACCAAGAAAGCTTTTGTGTGGTGTCAGGGAGCAGTGGACAGGCACTGGGGTTTTCACCACTTTGTACTCACAACCCCCTAGAGTCCTGTATGATTATTGACTCATTTATAAGCAGGGAGAAAATTGAGGTAGAGAGAGATTTAAGAAGCTTGGCTAAGGCCCTAAGGCTAGTAAGTGGAGAGCCAGGATTTGAAACCTTGTAATTTGGCTCCAGAGTGCATACACTCAACCACTGTGTTAGATGAACCCAAGCATTTGGGTGATGTGGTGTCTTGGGGTATAAATTTTCCAGAACCTTTCAGGGATATTGATCCTCCCTAGTGCTTCTCATGGCCACAGTGCTGGGGTGTTTTCTAACAGTGTTCCCTGGCCATTGGCTGTTGACTCCAGTGGGTGTCAGGGAGCAAGTTCATCAAGGCTGCTCAAAGCCGGTACTTCCCATCAGCACACAGGAGGCGGCTACACACTCCTGGCAGGGCCTGAAGTGTCTTTATGACATTCCCAGATGGATGGCTCTACAGAGATTTCATGGAATGACTCTCATTAATACCCAAGACTGATGTTTATAAAGAGATGCAGAGACGTGACATTCCTTTGCTGGGAATGGACACCTTGGTAGGGAGGAACCCCAAGGAATCAGAATGAAGGTCCTCTGACTGGTTGTCCTATCAGAGGGGTCTATCATTTTAATATTGTGATATGATATCATCTACACATATTCATAGTTATCCTGGGATGTATGTAGCCTTTGGGCTGCATGTTGCACATACTGGCGGTCTACATGAAAAGACTTTTTCCAAGGCCTAGCTTTCCAGAAACTGGAGCAGAATATTGTCCAGGGATGGCACCCTTTCCCTCTTCCTACTTGATTCCCACCATCCCTTTGGGCCTGGTCAGTGCCAGAACCTTGAGAATGACCCCCTTCCTCTCTTTTGAATCTTACATTTCTTTTAGCCTGGTCCATGAAAACAACTTTCTATGCTTTTAAAGCACATGTGTTGGTATTATCCCCTTGCTTGAATGCAAGTTCCATGAGTCAAAGATCCCAACCTGCTCTTTGCCTAAGTGCCTTGGGATACAGCAAATGTTCAGCCAAAAAGCTGCCCAACAAGTGATTGTGTAAGTAGCTGTAGCCAGCTGGGATGCACTTGCCACCTTGTGACTGTGCTATAGGGATGTTAAGGACCACTAATTCCCACCAAGGGACCATCTAGATCTGTGAACCTCTACCCTCACCATCCCAATCTGTGAGCCTCTGCCCTCACTCTCTGCTGCAACCACAATGGCCTCACCCCCACCCCTCCTTGTACCTTGCTTGCTTTTAAGATTTCAAACATCAGGGGCAGGCCTTGGGTGACGAGCTCCTCTGTGTACTCCTCCTCTTGAATGGTCTTGAACTCCTTGAGCAAACACTGGATGAGAGGCCTGCGGTGCTGCTGGAAGGCGATCCGCAGTGACTCCAGCCACGTGTGCAGAGTCCATGGGACACCTGGACAGGGGAAAATACATCGGGCCAGGTGGGAGGGGAGGGCAGGCGAGGGGAGGGCAGAAAACAACCAAGGAACAGGGATATTTTTATCTGGAAGTTGGCCTTTGTCTAGGACATTACCAAGCTATGAATCCAAGGGACCGGCCTTCAGTGAACACAGGCAAGATTTACACATATTCTTCATACTATAGGAGGCTGCATTTTACAATACCAGTTGCTGTGTAGAATCTTTTAATTACTCATTCCTACGCATCTATACCTCTGAGTTCACCATCTTACTTCTACTCATTGGGGAGTGAAAAACTAGGGGGAAGAGGGAGTTTTAGGGCCAGATGACATATCCACACTCAGAAGAGGGCTGAGAATGGTGAGACAGACCAAAGGACTTGACCATCCTCCCGTCTCATCTAAATCAATGGGAGGAGCCCATTGCTGGTCCCCTGTGTAAGACATTTGCACCTGCAGCCCCTCATCACATCCTTTCCTTTAAAAAGGTCTCCTCAGCAGATAACAGCAGTGAGGGGGTGAGGCGGGAGAACATGCCTCACCTGCTTCATAATGAACAGGTAGATCATTCTGATTGCCCAAGTTTCACAACATGGAAAGCAGATTCTCAGGGCAACAGCATACATTTCTCATGTATTGAACAGTCCACCTGTCAGAGACTCTTTCCAGAACAGTGATCCAGTGGCTTCTATTTGGCGTTCAGCCTGTCATGATAGGGTCCCATTTCCACGTTTCCCTTCCTTTCCAGGAAAAAGCCATTGAATTGGTGCTAGGCTAGTCTGGACCGCCAGACACACCAGTGAGACAGCTCTGGGCTGGCTCACTGAAGGGAGAGCTGCTGCTCTCCTGAACGGCTCCTGTTGGCTCAGAGAAAAAGTCCTGGGGAGGAGGCATTTGTCCTTGCCCCGAGGGTCACTCTGTGTCAGTGTCTTTCCCCTGAGGGTCACTCTGTGTCACTGGAGTTGATGATCTTTACAGTAAGTCCTCAAGCCCTGGGAACCACCTGGAGTGATTGTTAAATATACAGATTCCAGTCTTTATCCATCCAGACCCTCGACAGCAGAGCCTCTGGGTGCAGGGCCTGGTAATCTGTATTCAGACAAGCTCCCCAGGTGATTTAGGTACCTGGCTCAAGGTCCAGGGTTTGGGAACCAGGACAAGATGGTCTAAGGGTGGGGCCTCAGGGCAGGCAGGGTGCTGTTGTCTGTGGAGACAGTGTGGGTATCTTGGCCTGGAAATGTTTAACAAGTTAAGGAGAAGCTCCCTGAGACCCCTTGATGTACACGTGTGTGTGTGTGTGTGTGTGTGTGTGTGTGTGTGTGTGTGTGTGTGCTGTTTCTAGTGGTAAATGGTGCCCAGACTGACCTATACTCCTGATATCAATTGTGACATCCACGTAGCCATGCTCAGCGCTGTGATACATGGCCTCCCTCAGGGCCCTCAGTTTGGCCTTGCTGTTGCGGCTGGCACACAAGGGGGACGGGGCTGTTTCTGCCAGGTCAGTCCCCTCAGCCAGAATCTCCTCCAGGGACAGGATATCGCTCTTCTCCTTCTCTGGCTGAGCGAGCAGTTTGCGGAACACATTCCTGTCAATCATAAACCCAGAGAGGCAGACACTGAGAGATGGAAGTGGCTGTGCTGGGGCAGGGACACAGTAGGGGTTAGGAAGCTGCTCACTCAGGACCAGGAATAAGAGGAATGGATGATAGGCTTTGGGGATGAAGGAGATAGTGGGGTAGAACTGGCCACATTTCTTGGAGGACATCTTGAGGCTGAGTAATGCCCAGAAAGTCCTGGAGCTCTGCCCTTTTGAACATTAGTCTGGTGAATTTGCTCTCTTTGGGATAAAATGTAATAAAATCTGATAGGGTTTCTGGAAGAAACCAAGAAAGGACATGAGCAAACATGAAGAGCTATCATTTTTATGTGACATCTTCTCACATCATGGCAACTGACATGATGTACTCTGACCCATCATACTGGCCAAGAGTGACACATCTCTGTGGTTATAGCTGGCTGAGAGTGGACAGAACATGGCAGTCTGTATGCACGTACAGTACAGGAATTGGCTCTTGACAAGAAGCTATGAGTGAAGGTGCCTTCTCTGGTCAAGCCCAGAGCCTGGGTCACCCCACTGCCACTAGCCCCTGGGCCCCACATCCAGAGTGAGAATGGGTCTGGGGCAGGCCTGGAAACCTGCATTTTTAACAAGCACCACTTGGGACCTGGTGGCCTTGGCCCATCCTAGCCTACCTGTGTCCATGGGCTGCGGCCTGGCTGAAAGAGTTCATGTCACCCTGGGGGGTTGTAGAAATTCCATTCCTGTACATGGTTCCTATCAGGGGATCCGCACCACGCTCCAACAGCAAACTAACCAGCTCAAAATTCCCTGCAAGCCCAGAGAAGGGGGTTTCGTAAAAGAAGAAAACAGAAGCCGGTCACAGGTACATCAAAGGCCACAGCAGAGACACCAGGGTTGGGTGGGAACTGGGAACTTACCCACAGCTGCCGCAAGCTGGAGAGGTGTTTCTGAATAGTTCTCCTCGCCATGTTCCACTGAGCCTTCCACCTTGGCCCCAGCATCCAGGAGAAGCTGCAGGGAAGAGTGGTCACTGAGACACGAGAAGGGCTTGTTTCGTGGGGAGGCGTCAGTGTCCTGGCAGAGATCCGCCAGATACTACTGTCCCCCTCCCTCAGGTCAGCGACCTGTGCACTGGGCTGGAGGCAACTTTACCTCAGAAAAGGAGCCTCTCCCATCTTCTAGGACCCCAGATTAGTGTGGTCCTAATAGTGTGGTCCATGCACAAGAACATGTTAGGCAGTTTGTTAGAAGGGCTGTCTCACTGGCCCCAGCCTGGACATACTGAGCTTGTCTGTATCTTAACAGGCTTTCCAGGGAATCCTTAAGTATATTTAGGTTTCTGGAAGCACTGAGATAGAAGCATCCAAATGCTGCAAGTTTCCATTGTTGGATCTGTGTCACAAACCTCAGAGGGCAACTGGAGTGGTCCCTTTCAACAGCAGGTGCTCAGGAGTATGATGGACCCCAGGACCATCATACTTGGTCAGCCAGCGTGAGAACCCTCCCAGAACCCCCTGGATGGCTCTGAGGACAGGTGAGGGGTTTAGTTCTCTGACCAGCAAGATCTGGTAATGTAGCAAAAGCTGCAAAAGCTTTTCCTGCCTTCATTCAGTGCATTTGCTGAGATACGTGAGCTTGTAAAAGGAGGCCGAGGCTCTGTCTGTGCCAGCTCGCCACTCTGGGTGACCATGCTGTCTGCATGCAGCGTGTAACATGGGGATGAGTCCACCATCTTTACTACTACCTATTGCTACCTGAGGGCATCACACTGTGACTGCACCTGCTGCGGGGACATAGCCTGACTACAGGAGGTTCTGCCTGGCTTTCAGCTGTTCCCTTTCCTGAATGAATGGCTGAGGATGCCATTGCCCATTAAGGATTTCTGTCTGTGCTGTCCAGAGGCCACCAACTCCCTTCTTTCCGATTCTCCTCTGCCAAAAAGGGGCTGAGTTTGATATTCTAGAAGCAGAAGCCAGAGATAACGTTGTTACATCACACTCAGCCTCCTGAAATGCCACTGTGGGTCTGTGGTGAGGATTACCATAGCCAGGAAACAACAAAAGTTCCTGTGAAATGCCAGCCCTGCTGAGCTGTCCCTGCCAGCTACTCTGCTGCACAGAATTTGGAAGTGTGGGCCACATCAAAGAGGGGTGTTCTTGCTGTCTCTGTACCCACTGTGGGGCTGGGGAGGCCCTGGACTTAGATGCCAAACTTCCTCTTCTGATGAAGTGAAGACCGAGTTAAGACGGAGGCTATTCACTGAACATCAAGTCTACCACAGTCAGAAATAGTGACAACAATGCTCAGAGGATCGCGGGCACAAGCATGTCACCACATCTGTAGCTGTTTCAGAAGACACAGGGAATCTACCATAGACCTCCAAGAGACGATTCTCAAGAGTCAAAACTCACACCAGCACATTTTTCAATGATTTCCTTGTTGATCTGGATGCTTCTTCCCACTGGTTGGAAACCACTGGAGTCCACAGAACACTAGGGCCACACCTGAGGGAAGAGTCCCTCCAGGTACTGACCCTGGCTGAGTCTTACAGTCATGTTAAGACAAGTCTATAAAGTAACAGCTGAAGTCCCACCTTAGAGCAACCAGGAAGAACACCTCAGGTCTGTCACTCATGTGTGAGGCTGCATGTGGGTACCAGATGATTTCATATTGGTTAATGCTTGGCCAAATAGATGCTTCAGTATAATAATTTCATTATAAAATAGGGATACATTACATTGAATTGCAATTAACCAATATGAATCACTTAGGGAGATATGCATGCTGGGAGAGATTCAGATTTGCGTCACGGAGGAGGTCACAGTTAATGGTCAGATGTGGGTAGGGAAATACTTAATACCTGAACTACAGGAATATGTCCATGCAACACAGCAAAAGTCAGAGCCGTCCAATGGCGGGTCTCAGGGTGGACGGATGGATATTTATGAGGAGTACTGACAACCTATAAACAAATTGAAGTTATTTTCAAAATGTGACCCACAATATTTAGGCTTGCAGATTCTAGCCTATCTGTGGTCAGGCACACAGAGGAGGAAAGTACCAAAAAGACATCCTGGCAGGTGCCTTAGGAAATGGATGATGCCAGGTAGTGACTTCCCATGTTGGAGGCCCCAAGCAACCTCTCACCAGAACTGTGTGCTGCTCTTGCTGGAGTTTCTTAGAAGAGATGCTGAAGCAGCCTTCTGGAAGCAGGCCACTGGAGGGCTGTTTTTGGGGCATGTCACCAACGGGGGCAGAGAAAGGATTTTGAGCCTGTGTTCTCTGCGCCTCTACTTCCTCCCAAAAAGCATTAGTGTCTGTTCACTCATAGGAATGCTTTGGAAAAGTGGTTCCTACAAGCCAGCTTCTCTGCCTATCTCTTTCCCTCTGTTTGCCTAAGGAGGACAGTGGTTCCGAGAGCTATAGGAAGTGAATTAGCTTGCAACATCACTAGCACCCTATCTATATTTTAGCTCCTCAAAGGGAGCAGGTGAGGGGTAGGCCTGTTTCATGTTTCCACAGTAGAGAAGACAGTCACTAGTTTGAGAGAGGATGTCCCTTGCCACTCTGCTCACAGATCACCTTGGCTTCTTAGTTGAAAAAGGCCCTCATGTAACTGGAAACACAGGCATGAAACTTGCCCTGAACATACCAAGAAGAAATAATGAGAGACTGGGTTTCAGGATAGAGGAAGGTCTTGAATATACCAAGCTGGGACATATTATGGAAACCGACAACTGGAGACTTGAGATATTAACACTAGCACACAGTGTTCTCCCCAGGATTTCTGGGGCCTGTAATCTTGGCTTGAGTGTCTTTCCCACAGACAAAGGCACCAATCGAAACCCATGGGAGGGTCTGGAAAAGAGGGTCAGAGAATACCTCCAACTGAGGATCTAGATGGGTTCTGCGACATTTTGAAACCATAGTAGAGTGGGCAACCCTAGATCACTTGAAACTTGTTAAGATCTAAAATAGGTTTGGATTCAGAGCTATGTTTACTGTCTGCTTTCCCCAGATGAACATAAAACTCACCAATAATTTTTTAAAAAGCACAGGGTAACACTGACTGCATCTAATTTTGAGGCAAAAAGGTTTCCTGGAGTTACTGATTGGTGGCTGCAGCATGCCAGTCTCCTTGACATCTGCAACTGCCAAGTACTGGCTGTGCAAGTCTTCAGGCAGCAAAGAACAAAAAAGCGAGGATCCACTTATATTGAGTCTTGGGGTGGTTTGGAATAACTACTGTTAATGGAGTACCAGACATGGCTCGGTGCCTCTGCTAGGTGCAAGCCATAGCTGGGTGCCTCTGCTAGTACCAATTCCTCCCAACAGGGTTTGCATCAGTGATCCTTCTCCATCTCACAAAGCCATACCATTTCTCTAGCTTCATAGCAGGTGGTAATTTCAGAACTCAAACCTAAGCCTGTAGATTCTAAAACCTCCAGGGCAGGGAGCTTCAATTTCCAGCCTACTGTACAACATCATGGCAACTTTGAGATAATTCAGTTAACAAAGTGAGCCTGTGGGCCTGAGAGGAGCATAGGGGATGAAAGGAGGGAACCTCAGCTCAGGGAGCCAGGCCAGCAAGTGTCAGGCATCAGGAGATGGCTGGAAGGGGATGAGTCAAGAGCTGCTCAGTCAACATAATCCAGAGCTCCCTGTAGTTACAGCTATTGATCCAAATGACTTTGGCTGGGACTTCTGGTAGGACACAGTCTGTCAGGGGATTTTACCATGGCTACAGCCACTGAAAGGGTTGAGCAGTCATGAGTGAGGGTGACTGGGAAGGGAAAGTCTGGGCTGGCAGGGCCTGCAGCCCTCCGCACCCTCACCTCCACATTCAGGTCAGCTCCGGCATCCAGCAGCATCTGCACCATCGCCTCGTCCCCACGGACGCAGGCGTACATCAAGGGGGTCATGCCCTGCGGTGGTTAAAACCAGAGACGGAGACGTTTACAAGGTGGCTATGGTCAGTCAACAAACACATGGAATGTCTTATCGGTGTGGGTACTCAGATTCTATGGAGCCCTGTGACTCACAGGGTCACAGCCTTCCACATCTGGACACTACAGTGGAGGAGCGAAGGGAAGTGACATCACCCTTTAGCACCTATCTTTGCTTAAGTTGAGAGTTTTCCTATATTTCATGGTACAACAGACCTAAGTGTGTTTTAAAACAAGTGGCAGATTGCAATGGTGGGCAGTGGGCGGTGGGCGGTGGGCGGGGAGCTCACAAGAACTTTCTGGATTCTGCAATATCAACCATAAGCTATTTAATTATAAGGAATATAGTTTCTTTGACATTTGTGCCCTTTACAATGTGACAAAGTGTCCTTGTTGTTCTATATGGCCTTGGGATATTCCTGAGCATGTGGCCACCCTCACTGTCATTGGCTCTCACAGCAACCAAAGCATGGTGGCCTTTAGGAAACCTTCCCCGCTCTGCCTCCTGCTCAACACAAACTGAGCACACAACCAACAGAAAGAGGGATGGCGTTCTCCATCAAGTGTTGGGAAGGCAACTGTTTGGGGAAATGTTTATGTTCCAGCCTTATCTCACACCATACACCAATATAACCTTTAGTTTTACTAGAGACAGCCAGCAAAAATTAAAATTATAAGAGATACCAAGTTGGTTTCTGGAACCATTTCTAGGTATAAACACAATGAAAACCATCATGCATGACATGCAATTGAAAACATTATAAGCAAAATTCCAAAGTCAATGACAACCGAAGATGTGTTTGTTACATTAAAGGAGTTTGTGCCTAATATAGAAAGAATTCCTCTAAGTAAACAAGAAAACAGTAATAATGCCACTAAAATGCAGACAAAGGAAAGCAGACGGTTAACAGGGAATACCTATGTACTAGAGGGTACACAAAGACTATCAGTCTCCCTGGGGGCAGGCTGGGGACATTGAAGTCTGAGAATTTAGGGAACACTGGTGCGTTTGAGACACCACTCCCATTTTAAAGAGACATTTCCCACAAGCAAATAGAGATTGGAGCAAAGATTCGTATGTTTAGGTCAACATTATTCATAAACACTTTAAATATCCGACATTGGAAAGATGGTTAATGAATAAACGCTATAATCATTTTATACAGACACTGAAACAATTTGCAAAATTTTTAAATAACTTTACAAGGTATCTGAAATATAAAGTGCTGAAAAAAGTTATAATAAACCCCTGGTTTTAAACATAAAAGACACATATGATTGTGTGTTAGGGATCCTTGATGCTGTTCAAGAAAATGATTAGTTGTCATTAAATAGTCCCTTCTATTCCTTTCACGGAACTCTTTGCAAGGGTGGCCTGTGGGAGAAACAGCCCCATCTGTCCTTTGTAACTCTGCACACTGAGAGCGGCTGTCTGTCTTCTCTGTCTGTGTCACCACCACCTCCCCAAAGTGCCCCTGCGACTTGTGGATACCTCTCATGTACCACTTTCAGGATCTGCTAGGCACTGCTATGTCTGGGTGATGCCCTAGGGTCCCCAGACTGACTTTAGTGTCTCATAAACACACCCTAAGAGGACAGTGAAGACGGCTGAGTTCTGTCTTGTATTAACAGCATACTAGCAAAGAGATGACTTTAACATGCCAGAAAAAGACTTGAAGGCTGCAGAGTCCTAAATATGAGCGACGGTCAAGCTAATGACATCATTTCCTTTCCTGAACAGGTCTATCCTCCCACAACTTTGTAAAATTTCAGATGCAACGATCATATGAGGTTTCCATAAACCTCAGTGTATTTTTATAAGATTAAAAAAAAAACCAAAACACTGAAAAAGAAAGGGAAAATGGGGGGAGGGGCATTATTATTAATTATTATTATTATTTTGGTGATCAGCAGAGGGAGCCGGTGTCCCAACCAGTCCCAGCACTGAGAGGGTGAAGTACAGGCGGACTGGTACCTGTTCGCTCATGGTGTTGATTCCGTCGGGTCCCAGCAGGGACACTGCCTGTTTCACCAGGTCCGTCCGTCCACAGTTAAGCATCCGGAAGCCCAAGTCCTGCTTGAATTTGGCTTCAATGGCCACTGCGTCCAGTTTCCGAGAAGCGCAAAAGCAGTCGTCCGCCCTGCGGGAGGGAGAGATGGTCACGTGGGTCCCCAGGGTCTGGTCCCAGAGAGCAAACTTCCCAGCAAGCTCCACCAAGTTCCTCCTATGCTTTTCCTGCAAATTGACTGCTCTAGGCTCCCATTTAAAACGGTTGCCTCCCGGGGGGCTCTTAATCCCATCCCCTGCCCTTGCTGTGGCTGGCTCTGGTCCCTCATCTGTGTTCCAGGAGCATTCTCAGCTAAGAATTGTTATGCAAATATTGATGGAGTGTTTACATAGGTTATGTCCTCTGCTAAACATCCTATGTGAGTTGCTTCACTCAATTCCCACACAACAGAAGGCATAATTCCTATGAGGAACTTAAAACCTCCGGGAAACAGGGATAAGAAACCTTCCCGAGGACACTCTATTGGAAGTGACAGAGCCCGGATTTGAACCTGCATAGCACGTGTGGAGAGCCAGCCTTTGGATCTACGAGCCATCCTGTCTCCCAAGCATAGTATTTACTGTTGCTTGTTCACGTGTGTGACCCCTCACACTAGGCTGTGGACTTCTGAGCAGGAATTTGCCGGTCCATTCCAGTGACAGACAGGAGATATGAAGGCATTAAGAAATGAGAGTGGATGGAACACAGGACAGAGTCCCCACATTCAAAATAGAACAAGCCAGAGAACTTGCCAGATGAAATAAGAGATGGCAAGGTGCTTCCGCTGTCGAGTTCAGGGAGAGGTGAAGACAGGAAAGCAGGAAGGGAACCGATGGGAGAAGGTCAAACAGGATCCATGTTGAAAGCATTTTACTGTCTTCTCCCAGTGAACTGGCCAATAATCTTTCAATGAAGCCACTAAGCATTTACTGAGCGCCCATTTGGGTCACACTCTGACTAGGTGTCACATCACCACCCCAGCTCTGGAAGCCCACAGTCTGGAGTGGACCGGCATGGGCCCTGATTCCATGTATCTAATACAAAATACTGAGGGTTTAGAGACAATTTCTGAGTGAAATATACAATGGGACTATAGCCTCTTAGGAAGATAAGCCCTGAGCTGTGGTTGCAGGGATGGGGACAGGAGAGGATGAGGCACAGTATTTTATGCAGGGCCAGGTGAGACATGGCAGGCTCTCCACAGAGGCCAGTGTTTCTGGGCCATTAACCTTGGTCTAAGTGTTAGACCCAAGTAGCTGAGGGAAGTGGGCTTAAAGCACAGAGACCCCATGGCTACAAAGCTACCTGTGTGTTGGAGATGATGGAGGGCCCAGGGCTTAGCTTTAAACATCAGTATCCTAGACTATTGGGTGCAGAGTAGGACTGTGCCTTATGGTTTCTTGGTCTAGTGCATGTGGGTTTTGAACTTGACTAGAGCTACCAGATTGGGCGAATACAAATGCTAAATCAACAGTGCTCGGGACATATTTATATCAAAGCTTAATTCATTGTTTATCGAAGATAGAAATTTCACTGGGTTTCCTCTTTTTTTCTTCTGGAGAAGGGCAGCTAAATATGCAGAGAAACTAAAAATCCCCCACCTTCAGTGTGGTGGCATGGACTGATGGTCCCCAAAACTTCCCATGGAAGCTTTTAACACCAGAGTAACAGGGCAAGACCCTAGGGCACACATCACAAAGGCCTCCAGGGGGAGTAAGTGTGGCATCTATGTGTGTTATTCTGAAGAACCAGGATCCTGTGTGTGTGTGTGTGTGTAAGTCTCTGGGAGTCATCAGACTTGATTCATTGCATGGATAACCTTTCTTCTGCTAGATGCTAGCAATGCTGGAAGAGGCTTCTTTGTGAAATCACACAGCTCCCACCCCGGTGAAAGAACGTGAGAGTTAGAGGAAGGGGAAGCAGTGGTGTGGAAGGCTTGTGGTGTGACATGGCTGTTGCACCCTTGAACTCATTCATAGGAGCTAGGGCTACCTGTTCCAGATCTGTACAAGCCTGGGCCTGCCATCATTTCACATGGAGGAAGGAGGAGTCCTTGATGACTCACTGCTACCTGAGGACTTTTATGTAGCTAAAGGTTTCTGAGGGGTGGGAGAAGACACTTTGTCCTGTGGTGTAGACACTGAAAATGTGCCCACGCTCCTGTAAACAACACTAATAAGATTCAATAGGTTATTGAAAAAACAAAAAAGCAGAAGAAGGATTGTTTGGAAAGAGGGAGTGGGGGAGACAAAAAACAGTGACAGAGTGGGGGATATGATCAAATTATATTATATACATGTATGAAAATGTCATGATGAAACCCATATATACAATTATGACACAGTAATAAAGACATTAAAAAGGAGTTCCCATCTCAGGACAGAGATATGAGTGATCTCCATTGTCACAGAAAAACCCCCACCTAGACATTTCTTCTTGCTTGTCTATCTCTAAGTCCCTTCTAACAGCCTCAGTACTTCATGGCCTCATTCAGATATGTGGTTTCTTCCCTTTTCCGGCAATCAAGCTACATTCTGTGTGATTGGGCATTGCCAGTGACCACTGTATGTTAAACCTCATGCCAAAGAGCTCCAGAGTGGGGAGGCAGAGGCTGGACTCACAGAACTCAAAAGCTTATAAACAGATAATTCTAAGAACATCACAAGTGTTTACCAGCTCCTGGGGTCCTTGATTTTAATTGGAAAGAGACAAATGGCAGGAAAATTACTGCAGTTAAGATGATGATAATTGTTATTACAGGAAGCGGACGTTTATGAATACTTACGTGGGGATCTCAGCTCTTTCTGTGTGTCAGCCCATACCATCATCATAGTGAGCCCCAGAGCCAAGTGCTATGTGCAGCCTGCTCCAGCAACGCGGAAACTGAGGCAAAGGAATTACTAGAGACATAGATGCTAAGAGACAAGCTGGCATGTGTCAGGGGTAACTTAACTCACACCTGTTGGGGGTCAGAGGGCCCTGGAACATACCATCATGTTCTGTCTATACATTTAACTTCTATTGGAGCTGGACTGTTGAATATCTCTTAGACCTCTAAATTCAGCATCTCCAAACGAACTGCATGACGAACTATATGACACCTCCGTCTGTCTCCACCCTCTAAACTTGCTCCTCGTTGCCCCATCTCAGCCATTGACATTGCTACTCACCCAGGTGCTGAAACTGGAATCTGTTCTCACACCCATGTCCATCCCCACAGCTGTCATACTGCACACGAATCCCAAGTCCACCCCTTTGCCACCCTCATGGCTCTCCATGGGTCCCAGCACACATCTCTGGGTGGAACAGAGTAGGAGTCAGTCTTCTTGATTTCATTCTCCTTACCCCATGCCACCTCTCACACATTCAGGTTACTCACTGTTTAGGCAGGGCCTCTTGGGTCCCTTCTAAAGCCTTCTAGTATTTTGAGGATAAAATTTGGCTTCTCTTTCCCTTTGGAAGCCTTTCTTTGCAGGACTGGCTCCTTGTCCTTCAAGGGTAAGCTTGATCATAGCTGAGGAGGCTTCCCATCAGATCACCTATACAAAGGCATGCTCTTCTCCTGTCTATACACCTATCTCCCTCCCGGCCAGTTACTTCTGTCCCCTTGGTAGCACCCTCACAGTTAGGGACTAGTTTTCTTTAAATAATATTAAATATCATTTAATTAATTAACTAATATAACCCCCCTCTCTTGTGTGTGTGTACATGTGCACATACACAGTACATGTGTTGAGGTCAGAGAATAACTTTGGGAGTGAGTTCTCTCCTTCCACTATATGGGGCCCAGATGTAGGTTAGGTCATCAGCCTTTGGAGCAAGTGCCTCACCTGCTGAGTCACCTTGCCAGCTAGTTTAATTTTGTTTTCTTACCAGCATGTCTAAGTCCAGACACAGGACCACACCCATCTTGTTCTCCGCTGTAGGCAAAACAGAGTTGAATGCGAATAGCAAGAACTGATAGGAGAGATGGGTGTGCACCATTTAAAAAATGAACACCTAATCTTAACTGACTGCTAAAAATTACACATATATTTATAATGTGTAACATGATACTTTGAAATATGTGCACACTGTAGACTGGGCAAATTAGCGTGTTACCTTACACACTGAGCATGTGTGTGGTGAGAACAGTTCAGATCTATTCTTTTTTTCCTCCTCATGCCTGCTAGACAAGCAATCCACCAACTGAGCTATGTTTGCAGCCCCAAATCTACTCGCTTATCAGTTTTCAAGTATGTAACACAAGGTTATAAACTATATTTCCATGATTTATAGCAAATCTCCTGAATTTATTTTCTCCTGTATCCTTCGACTCACACATATCTCTCGACCCTTTTTTGCTCACCACACTCCACTCTCTGCTTCTTGGAGAACAACATTTTTAGATTCCACATGTAAGTGAGATCACATAGCATTTATTTGTCTTTTGATACCCAGCTTATCTCACTTAACACAATGTCCTCCAGGTCTACTTATGTCGGGATGACAGAATTTCCTTTGGAAAGGCTCACAAGTATTGTTTTACACACACACCACATTTTCTTTATTGATTCATCTGCTGATAGACACTTATGTTGACTCCATTTCTTAATTATTGTAAATGATGCTTCAACTTAACATGGTGATACAAACTATCTGACTACTGACTTCCTTTATGTAATAAGTAATAATAATAAGACTACTGGATTCTATCATAGTTCTATTTTAAAATTTTTGAGGAACCTCCATGTTTTCCGCAATAGCTGCATTTATGCATTTCAACAGTGAACACTGATTTCCTTTTCTTTTTGACTATAGCTACTCTACCAGGAGGAATTGTAATTTTTTTTTTGGTATTTTATTGTGGCATTTTATTGTCATTTCAATGTGAAATTCCCTAATGAGTAGTGATGGCTGGCATTTAAAAATACACTTACTGACCATTTATTTGTCTTCCTCTGGGAAATGTCTCTTCATATTCTTTCCTCGTTTATAGGTTGAGTTCTTTGCCTTGTTGCTATTGAGTTCAGTTTATTACACGCTCTGGCTGATCACTCTATCTGATGTGTTTGCAGACATGTCTGCTCTGTAAAGGCACTGCATACTGTGTG